CCTATATATGTAATATCAAAGCAATTGGACTTGAGGTTTTTAACAAGAAGTCGAAAGTATCACTTTTTACCAAAAATGACAAAAATATTCACCACCAAAATTAGAGAATTGGAGATATCATCATGAAATGAACAAATCTGAGAGAGGTCTACCCAAGGTACATATACACCAAGTATCAAAGCATTCAGGCTTGTAGTTTTCAAGAAGAAGTCGAAAAAGTAAAACATTGACACGGACTACGACGGACGACGACGACGGACGACAACGACAGACAATCACTTATATGATAAGCTCCACTCGACAAAGTCGACAGCGGAGCTAAAAATATTCACCAAAATTAGAGAATTGAAGATATCATCACAAAATGAACAAATCTGAGAGAGGTCCACATGTAGTACCTATATATGTAATATCAAAGCAATTGGACTTGCGGTTTTTAACAAGAACTCGAAAATATCACTTTTTACCAAAAATTACAAAAATATTCACCAAAATTAGAGATTTGAAGATATCGTCACAAAATGAACAAATCTGAGAGAGGTCTACATGTAGAACCTATATATGTAGTATCAAAGCAATTGGACTTGCGGTTTTTAACAAGAAGTCGAAAATATCACTTTTTACCAAAAATGACAAAAATATTCACCAAAATTAGAGAATTGAAGATATCAACATGAAATGAACAAACCTAAGAGAGGTCTGTCCAAGGTACATATACACCAAGTATCAAAGCATTCAGGCTTTTAGTTTTCAAGAAGAAGTTGAAAAAGTAAAACATTGACACGGACGACGACGGACAATCACTCATATGATAAGCTCCGCTCGACAAAGTCGACAGCGGAGCTAAAAATTAATGGGCATTCCATTTACAGATCTGGAATGAGGACAAGTTCAAATTATCCGCGGCAAACAGACAATCCACTACTCCTGACAACAAGGATACTGCACTGAGATACTTTCCCTGCTGAGATAGACAACCATGAGAGATAAACCTGTCATTCATCTGATGTTGAGCAGACACACTTACCAGTAAACAATACATCAGCTTAGTTTTAGTTTTCTAGGCATAATTAATAATGTCAATGTCACTTACCTGATATCGACTTGCTTGATGTAGTTGTACATTTCCAGATTCTACATTATCATATGCCTTTTCAACATTAGCTTCAATTGTATCCACCATCTCACCTTGTTCATATACTAAAGAAGCTAAATCTCTAAAAATTTGATTAACGTCTAAAATGTCTGCCTGAAAAAAATATAAAAAAAGTGCAGGTTACTGACGGGTCAGAAAAAGCTTGTATAGCAAATAAACAGAGATGTATGACATATTTTACAAATTGCATTTTGAGATCATTCTGAATCAAAGAAAGCTTAGAAAGAACTCCCATGTGCTGAGAGTATTGGAAACACATTAAATATAATTCGAAATTACTTAGCTGAAAACTAATTATGCAAATCAGAAAATTAATATGACCAGATTTGAGTGTAAAACTAATGAGGTCTGCGCAATGTAACAGAAAATCTATGTCTCCAAGTTTAATTGAAATGTGATTAGAACCAAAAAATTATGAATTATTATGCTTATTAGGGAATTAATATGAACAGATTTTTACCCCAAACTAATTAGGTTTGTACATTGTCCTAGAGCATCTTTGTACTAAGTTTCATTGAAATGGAATAATTAGTACCGTGAAAACTCCAAAATTTCGACCCCTCTAAAAATTCGATCGCCTATTTATTTGCCGGGTTTCGGTGTTTTATTTACCTCCAAATTTTCGACTCCACTAAAAATTGCCGACTCATTCTTATTCGAAAATTGCGACCAGTTTTAGTTTTCCCCCAAACGAAAAACAAGCAGCCTGTCGGCTGAGATAGCTCCGCTGTTAGCAATGCACATGGCAATTAAAGAACAGAAGATATCATTAGAAAATGAACAAATCTGAGAGAGGTCCACATGTAGTACCTATATGTATAATATATCAAAGCAATTGGACTTGCGGTTTTCAACAAGAAGTCGAAAATATCACTTTTTACCAAAAATTACAAAAATATTCATCAAAATTAGAGAATTAAAGATATCATTATGAAATGAACAAATCTGAGAGAGGTCCACATGTAGTACCTATATATGTAATATCAAAGCAATTGGACTTGCGGTTTTTAACAAGAACTCGAAAATATCACTTTTTACCAAAAATTACAAAAATATTCACCAAAATTAGAGATTTGAAGATATCGTCACAAAATGAACAAATCTGAGAGAGGTCTACATGTAGAA